TTCAAATGTTCCCTTAAATACCCCAAACTCCACTCTCTACAGCTACTTCGCATAAAGTTTTGCTTGATTCTAATCGCATTTTGGTGTAGCACGGGGATTCAAGTTGAGCCTTAACTTTGGCAAAACTTAGTTAGGCCAACTAACTCCGTAAGGTATTTGTGGATACCACATATCCATGGGTGAACTTACAAAGGGACCAAATTTAATAACCGGTGCATGTTGGAGGAGGTGCACGAGCATGAGCCAGAGGCAACGCGCCTGGCAGCAGGCGCTTAACCTGTCTGCATGTGTTTGTTGCAGAAAGCTTCAGCGTGGAGCTCCACTTCGTTTCCTTCATTCTTGTTTGGAATCAAACAAAGTTTTTTTGGTCGAAAAAAGAGGGAAGGGGTGTGCTGGGGATTCCCTTTTTCCGCCACAACTGTGATGCAATATTCCGCTTCATTTTTTTTTGCTCTGGCAATTCCCACTGTCAACACTTGAATTGCTGTGCCAGCCGTCAACCATTTAAGCAAATTAACTGTATAATTAAATTGTGCAGAAGTGCCCCTCTCTCATTCTTTGCCACCCTCTCTCTCCGTCTCTTTTTTGGCACTTGGCAGGCAACAAAAAAGAAGAATTCTCGTTTTTGGAGCGAGGGAGACCTTTTTGCTGAAAAATGTTTGCGAAACTTTAAGTTTTTAGCAGGATTTAAGGATGTGTTCATACGTTCAGTCAATTTTGTTATCCAAACTAATCCCCAAAAATGCAGGAGCATTTTCCATTAGGGAAAAATGTACACAGTCAGCCGAGAAAAAAGAATTCACAACTATTTTAGCCATGCATATGTGGGCGCTCTTTGTGGCCCACAGTTTATAAATATTTGTGTAATTTTGGACCCAGATTTAATGCCAAATTTTGTGCTGTGAATCGGGAAGCGGCTCATTTAAGCTCTGACTTTCATCACAATTCGTGGCATAATCACTCGTAATTGGGCGTCTAACACAGTGGAATGCATGGCATGTGAGCACTAAATATATTTCATGTTGATTTCGGTTTCTGTCTTTGGGTTGATTTAACCTAATAGTCTCGATTGTTGCGGCCTGATGACGATTTATGCGTTTATGTGATTTTTATGTGAACAGACCAGGGCCAGTCAATGTAACCAACTACTCGGATGATACGTACTGATTTCGATACTATTTTATGGGCCTGCTTCTGGGCTTCTTTTTATTGCCAACGATTACGAGACAGTTTTCTTGTTACTTGCCAGAGACAATATCTGTGTGGCGGAGGAGGAGGCTGTTTTAGTGCGAGCTTTGCTCTGAATTTATGGTTTATGGATTCTGTCAAATTATGTGATACGTATTCGTGCTTTTTTTTGTGCCAGTGAAACCTTTTGTCTATCCAAGAAGTCAAGACAAAAATAGCTAAATGGTTGGCATGTGTGTGTGTGTGTGTGTTGTGTCTTGGGAATTTTACATTGAAATTGCTCTTTGATGTCACTCACTGCTCATTGTTTATGTGTTTACTTCTTGTATCCATCTTTTGCATCCATAAAAGCATATCAATGTGTACATTTTTATTGTCCCACCACAAGGCAACCATAAAGTGGAAATTATATCGAAGATTATGACTGTTATTCGTTTCTGCTACATCGAATGGATGCTTGTCCAGGCAAATAAATAAATATAAATTGAAAACAAAAATTGGGCCACAGGTTGCGGGTGAATGTGTAGATTCTCAGCTGGATATGCAAATGTCTTTCCATCTGGTAATTGGCAATAAAAAGTGGGTAATCCAACAGATACTTATGTGCCATCAAACAGCAGATACACATTTAAAATAGGAATTGCCATGGGCCCTGAGGAGAGCATAGGGATGGGTGGAACTTAAATTTAAATACACAGTTGGGAAGTAATTTTATTTTGTATACATTTAAAGCTCCTCTTTCTTGTCTCTGTATGCACATGCCAGATTTGAACCAAAAAAAAACTTGTATGCTGTTTGCTAAAATTCAACATTTCTTGTGCAAATTTACACACTTCCGGCTTTGGTTGCATTGCACCCACAAGCTACTCTTTGGTTAATTGCCACAAATTACATAAATGGCAAGCGTATGATGGATGAGTGAGTTGTTCGCAACAATAGAATGGACTCCTAATGGTCATTGCATTTGAAAGATTCATAGCCAGACCAAAGATGTATATGGACAGCAAACAAATGTCGGCAGACAAGGAGATTGGGAGATTGGGAGATTGGGAGATTGGGAGGTTGGGGAATGTGGTTTGAAAAGAAATCAGGTACTGTTTTTGAGAGATTGTTGTCTGGTCGTGTGGCAGTGTGCTTGTAAACAATGAATATGCATGAGTTGCCATGAAGCATGCCACATCCAACTGCAACCGAAGCCACGTCTGTGTGCGAGTGTGTTTGGGGTATGAGAATGACAGAAAAAAGCAACTTCAATTTGCGAAAGTGATATTCTCCAAGGCAGGAAATCAAATGCCATCGAAACGACAGGAACTGTGAGGGGGGAACACGGACGGCTAGTGCAGTCCTCGATTGACAGGCATAACGTTGATTAATTAATCCCTTCGATGACAGCATCGGCAAGCTTTATCTGCACGGAAATCGAAGTTAGTCGAAGTCGAGTTTCCCCCCTTAGCCAAAGTACAGCTTAACCCATTTCGTTTGACTCTGCCTGTAATGAACATATGAATATCAGATTCTTCTACAGAAAACTTCTACCATGAAGTTCTAGTCCTCAGGGGCGTTGATTCCCCATGCATTTAATCCCTCTGCTCTAGCACATTTCCATGCGTGGTCCCTGCCATAATCTGGCAATTAGTAAATGTCAAGTTTCCTTTTCTGCACTGCATTGAAAGTCCAAATTTACAGCTTGCGAATCGCAGTTATATACGTACGTACGTTCCTTGCACTCACTCGTATATCATCGGAGCAGCCCGGCGACAGTGCTTGTAAATATGCAAAGCAAATTGCAGCAACGCATGTGATTATGTTACATATTTCTATCTCGCATCTTGGGGCAGCAACGACAAGGTATGGCGGCATGCTAGGTATGCAGATACATGTGTCTTTGTGCTTGCTATGTTATGGTGTGTTGGTCTTGATTAAAAGCTTCACTTCAAGGTTGAAATGTTGCCACATACCTGGGGGGGTTTCTTGAGACGCTATGCTTACTGAACAACGCTGTTTAGAATCATCTTTATTAGATCTTTATTATGAAATACATATTTAGCAACTGGAAAATGCGATGATTAACATGTTCCTTTCTTCTTTCAGAATATTTAGACGCAGATTTAAAATGATTCAACGGATGGTAAGACTGCTTCATCTGCAAGATGTTAATATACTAATTTATAATTATTTTCTCAGAGTTCTCAAGCCTCCGAGGATGCAAAAATTGAGTGGAATGTTGAGTGAAGATCCTGCTGCCTTGCTGATTTCTTGGATAAATAAGTTTTCGATTAAAGAAAAGCATTAAAATGTAAGCAACACATATGCTGTCGGAACTCTTCCAGATGTCTCATTAATTTTCCACATTGTAGAGAGACGTGTGCCCTGGAGGGCCCATGCAAAATCACAAATGAATAATTAAACATAATTAGCAACTATTAAGGAGAACACATTGCCCAGAGGGGGATCCCAAACCGAATGCTAAGCGCAACTGTGACACACAGTTGGCCAGCTCTGGGGCATCCCGGGCATCCCAAATCAAAGCGAATCAACAGCACAAATAGGATGGCTCCAGAGAGAGGGAGATGCGGGATACGGCAGTCCCTAATAAGTCAACAGTAATGCATAAATTTTGGCCATATTGCGGAGCAGGTCTCCGTCCAGGTGGTAAACCCAAACCCAAACGCAAAGGCCAAACGGAACGTGCTGTCCAAGTGTTTGCCATTCCGGCTTTGCCAAATAGCCCAAAGAGAGAGAGGGGCAGGAATTTGCTGATTGACAATGTGGTTCTATTTGTGCCCAAACCCCTCTCGGAAAGCCTTCAGCGCTGGTCAGAAGCAAATTTGGCAATACAACAAAACGCTTTAACCTCTGACAGGACGCACACATTTCAATGGTTTCGATTGTATATAGAAACTTGGGGGGTCCAGGGAACATTAAAATTGATTACCCCGACATTGTGGGATATGAAAGAAGGCCAAGATGTGCGGTTCTTAAGGGTTATGGCCCAGCTGTGGGCTTGATTTTTACACTTTACACCCTCAAGAGGGTTAACTTGTGCATGGTGCCACCACAGCCACTATTCCTCTCTTATTGCCGAATTAATTGAAATGATAATAATTTCCGCCTTGCCATAAACGCTTATCAATTACCGCAGTCGGATGCTAATCGCGTAATCCTTTTTAAACGATTGCACAAACAAACGGATATTAATATCATAAACAATTTACATATTCGCCCATCCCTCACGCCTCTCTACATAAACACATTGTAATTCTGTTTATTGCTCGAGGTTATTTAATATTCAATTTTCGGTACTACTCGCTTCTCGTTTCTTGGCGAGCACCTCATAAAATGCCAAGAACTCATAAAACCAATGGAAAGCATATTCTAATCCGGCAGGCACATGCCAAAAAAGGCAGACATTAAAGTATATGAAGATGTAAACATGAATTTAAAACCAGAATATTGTAAATGCAATATCGCTTGCATATATTAGATTATTAGATTGCGCTCAGGTGAATATGAAAATATGTTGCAGTTGAGTTTTCTCCTCTGGGCATTACAATAAGTGCAATGTATTTATTTTTAATATTTTTCACACATTTCTATGGAAATATTTGGGTTTTATAACTTGTACAAATAATGCAGATTTGTCATGTAATTGGATTGGAGCCTAACATTTTTGTTGTAGCCAAAGAATGATTAAATGGAATTCATAATTTCGTGTCAAAAACAAATCCCAAACACTGTACACATTGCTTTGCATAACTTCAGGAGAAAGTTGCCTCTGAGATATTGTTAATATTTATTTTTAACTCTTGCCACAAATTAGAAAGGCGCAAACATGTCACTGGAGGAGCTGTGCGACCTCAAATCTGTGCTACCAACTACAAGCAGTATGAACTTCATGTATAAAAGGAATCAGATATTTCCATACAGACTGATGCCACCAGTTCCGGGCACCCCAGACTTGAGTCATTTGGGTAGGAAGGTTAATCACGGCACCACCACTGTGGGGTTTGTGTACCAGGGCGGCATTGTACTCTGTGCGGATTCACGTTTATGCAATGGCATAAATGTGTGCACCCAGAAAATGAAGAAAATTGTGCCGATCAGCAAGCACATTGTGGGCACTCTGGCCGGTGGGGCGGCTGACTGCAAGTACTGGTATCGGGTGCTCACTCGGGAGAGCCGCCTTCACGAGCTGCGCCACAAGCAGCCAATGTCCGTCGGGGCTGCCGCGAAGATGATCGGCGACGTGTCTCAAATGCACCGCGGCACGGGCCTGGACATGGGCATGCTGCTGGCTGGCTATGGACCAAAGGGTCCGTCCCTTATCTACGCGGACTCTGAGGGAATGAACATCAGTGGAAAGAAATTTGCCGTGGGCAGCGGAGCGAGTAATGCGCTGGGCATCCTCGACCAGATGTATCGCTTTGATCTGACTGACGAGCAGGCCTTCGATCTGGCCCTTCAGTGCATTTACCAGGCCACCCTCTGTGACGCCTTCACGGGTGGAATCGTCTTGCTGTATCGCATGGGACCCGGGACCCATGGGATGGTCAAGGAAGTGGATTGCATGGAGCTTCATAACAAGTACAGCAAGGATGCACCGAGCCAAATGGATATTGATCTTGTCTAAGCTGATAGAAATTTCATTTATTTGTTTATTTTTGTACACGCAAAACATAATTAAGAAAGAATTACCAATTTGCTGACTATCAACTGCGTGTGCTCTAATTGCCTCGGATTCTGTTTGCTTACAATTTTCACTCAATTTTAGGAGGCTCTCCTAAAAGCTCTCCTGCTTCCGTGAACCCATTTGGGAACCCATGCTGATGTCGTGTCGCTAATCATTTTGCGCCAAATTAACTGCTCCAGGGGAATGCAGAGATTTCTCTTTCCTTTCTAAGACCCTTGTAGGGAAAACAGAACATAAAATAGGTGAGCAGCAATTTTTTGGACACGGGCAGAACAATTAAGTTAGCATTTAAGTCGAATAAGGGACAAGGGCAGAGACAGAGACAGCGACAGGAAAGGGTCTGCGCGTGAATCTCTCCTTGCATAAATCAATGGCAACAACATTATTTGAGGATGGTGAAGGAAGAACACCGACACAGAGCACACGACCATTGCTAGGGTAAAAAGGTCAAATACTTAAATTTGTTCTCGTTCTGTGTGCTTTGGGGTCGGGTCGGGGAGCTCGAGCAATAATAAACAAGAAAGTGTGAAATAAAGCCAAATGGACATAAAAATTTGTATGTCCAACAAGAGCAAGGCAGCAGGCAGGTCCTGCCCTGAAAAAAAGGAGAAAAATTGCAGGCGCAGCAATAAAACGCGGCGAATGCTTTTAATTTGAAATGCTTGAGGACCAGGACCAAAGGTCTCCGGAACTCTTTATTTCTTCTATCGTTCTTTTTTAAGTGATTTCTCTTGGATTGGGATTGGGATTCAGATTGCCAGAATCGGGTGGCAGCACTTATAACTCTTGTGTGGATTATAAATCCCACTGGCACAATAAACTGCTTTATTTGCAAAAGTTTTGCAACGAGAATGGGCGATGCGATACGGTTACGGATACGGAAGGCGCAGCGCTTAATAATACAAATTCAAATGAGCCAACAAAATTGAAATATAGAGTTTTAAATCAACATTTGCATAGCAAATAAGAGTGGAAAATAATTATGGCAGTCGTTGCTGGACAAACGTGTAATGAACATTTTTCTGTACATATTTCTATTGGATATTTTTATGTCTCTCGAGGTCCACTGCCTTTCTGTCGTACTCCTGTCGTACCTCTCCACCGATCTGTCGGGATGGAAACAATTCAAATTTTGCACTTCAATTATGCGTTAATTGTATGTTATTTTACCATGTGGCTTGTGTCCATTTGTCCAGCAGCAAGAATTTTAAACATTGTGTATTACATTGAAAGATTATTCATCAGATATTGGGATCATATTGGTGTCAGGCTTGGCATAGAGAGCGGTCCACTCCCGTGCCGTGCGGTCATGCATTGTGCGGTTCTTCAAGTACATTTCGGCAGCATTCGGATTGATGGGGTTGTCTGGATTGGGATCCGACAGCAGCGATCGGATGGACAAAAGTAACTTTTCCACTGTCAGGGCCGCCGACCATTCCGAATCCAGTATATCTACGCAGATTATGCCATTCTCTATGTTGCAATGGTAAATCTTTGTGAGGAATACACAAGCCGGTGCCTCACGCGGGTAAAAATTTGAAAATAGAATGCCCAGTTCAAAATGTCCGCCCTCATAGGGCGTATCCGTGGGCCCGACAATGATGGCCTTCCAGTGGTAGATCAAGTTGTCAAGTAACATCACCTGACACCCTTCTGTCGGATTGCTCATCATTTTCGTCAACTCCTTTTGAAGGCGGCGACGGCCCATAGAAATTTGAGCCGGATTTTCTTCTACCGAATTGCTCGTATTTCTTAACATATCAGCCATTTCGACATACTCGATGAAGTCAATGTCAAGGTACAAAAAATCTGTCTCATCCTCTGCGTTCTGGTGTTGGCCAGCGCGTTGGTTTGCAGTGGTTCGGCGGCGATTCGCCGGGAGGGCCCTGGTTTGGTAATAATTTGGGCGGCTGGCGGCAAGGCGTTGTGCTGCTCGAACAAACGAAGCGCGGCGGTGAGGCGCCTCACTGGAAGCGGCCTTTTGAGCCATGATACGTGCACTTCTACGGGGTGGCATTATCTGCAATATGGCAAAATGCTTGCAAACACTTCCATTTAGTAAAGCTTTACGGCTTACCTTAAAAATGTATTTTAATTTTATTTTGTACGCTCTGACGTGTCACTTGAAATGAACTGAATGCTCACTTTTGCAAGATAGGAATTAACACAGCTTTGACTCGCTTCCAACACTACTTTCCACAGCTGTTCGACTGGTTCGGTTCTTTTTCTTTGTTTTGATCTACTAATCTGAGCTGCTTGGAATTTTTTGTTCATGATATTTTCTGTATATTATTTGATGCTCCCAACCGAACAGCCGGAGATTCTCCAAGTATCTTCCCGGTTACCTTTACTGACAAGCAGACATATTACCACCCAGCCATTTATATGGCCAACAACTATAAACTGCTCGTGCTTTTGTTTTATGTGTCCCAGCTCGTAATAAATGTTGTTTCTGTACCATTTTCTAGTCCGCCCTAAAACAAGCAATAAATGTCAGCGACTCTGACTAGGCCATGCACAAACAACAATAGCCTGAAGATACTTTATTTAACACTTGCATAAACGGACATGGCCACGGAGATAGGAAGGCGTAGCGCCAGGTGAGATGCTCGTTAAAAGTGCAGCTCTACATACATACATATATGAATGAATGAATGGACGAGTGGAATGGTCGGCGGATGAGTGAACGTGCACACCCATATCGTTATTTCTATGGGGTGCAATCAAAACGAGTCCACGAACGGCAAGCCCAGCGCTGTAGACTGAAAAAAATGGATGAGACAATAGAAAATGTCTGTCCCACTAGGACTGGCTGAGTCCGAAGAATAACTAAAAAAGAATAAACTAAAAAATATACCAGATAATCGTTGAGTGCAAAGATTTTAAATGTGTTTATTTGGTGGATTGTATCGCCCGTTTAAGAGGCATGGCGGACATGCCAGTGGGTTTTGGGTGATGATTTTTTACTGCTCTCCGAATCCTCGAGAGCTCAGCGGCAAATTTACACATGTTAAAGCCATCCCCTCTTGCCAGAGAACTGGCACTTTTTTTCTGCAATGAGTTTAACAAATTTATGGCATTTTAGCGACTGTTTTAACTCGACATACTTTCTCCTTCTCGCCTTTTAATTGCCCTGAACCACTGGCAGAGTTCATCTTGCTTGAATACTAAAAAACAATGTATAATAGTTGATGTTAAGAGCACGTGTTTCTTCAATTTCAAATCAGGGCTGGAAGCTTGCATTTTCGCCAGGGATCAGACACCACAAACTGCCTTCAAATATAAAGTCGTGACTGGACTAAGCAAAGACTGTGCTTTTGCAGACTTAATTTGAAATATTATTTAAATTATTTCTTCCTTTTAAATTCTAAATCATGGGAATCGCATGGTAATTGCTTCTATTCTGTGCACTAGTTTGTTAGTTTACTCTCATTTTAATTGTAACATTATAAAACTACTTTCAGCGTTTCCTTGGATATTTCCATAGTCTAGAGTTTTGTTCTCCTATCTTCATTTCGCTTCTCTACCATGATAACATTGACAAAAGTTGTTCGTTCTTTCTCTTGTTCTCCAGCTGTCTGCTACCGACAATTCAATAAACATTTCGTGAGCTAATACTCTGGGATCCATGGTAGGCCGGGGCAAACGGCATTGTGCCGGGTGTGGCCCATGTCAATGCCAATTTCTCTTTTATGCACAACGTAACAGAGCTTATTGCTTTTCACTCTTCGCTGCGCATAAATTTAGCATCCACAATACGCAGGATATGTATGTTTTTGGGCCCATCTCAGCACGATTTCACTTCTTTTATGCGCTTTTTTCCGTGCCCTTGTGTGCAGTCAGTCTTGGGTAGAGGCGGGCTCACGACTATGACTCAAGTCTCATTAGAGACCTCAAGCCGCAGACCAAAATGCAGGTAATCTGCATACAAAGCGCCGCCTCAACAGAGGACTGCATTTCCTCCACCAGACGGTGATATATCCATAATAAAGAGGAACAGAAAGCAAATGGAAGGCAGAAAAGTATGGAAGCGTTTAAGGAAAACGGCAGTGGGTATGAAATTACGCATACGTGTGTGTGTGTGGGGTGGGTACTGCACCGCCGGGGCGTCTCTCCAGGCCCCAGCAGGAAGAAAAAACAGTGCAAACGGAAATAATTCAAGTGCAGTGCAAATCATGGCCCAACCACGTTCAGGTAATTGTGGGTTTTGGGTCCAAATGAGGAAAAGGAAGCTCCTGGCATTGGCATTGCCTGGTCGCCGTGCAGAAGAGACCCAACCGAAAAGAGCAAACACATTTCCGAGTACTCAAACGAGTCTTATAAAGTCACAAGTTTTGCCACATTTTGGTGCAAGATTCTTTAAGTTAAAGTTAAAGTTGTTCCTAGTGTCAACTGAATAGCATCTAGTTTAATGTTGAAATATTTGATTTCTTGTCTTGATAGTCACGATATCGATAAGCGATAAGATGCGTGCTTGCATCCCTGGTATTTGCCATATGGAGTTGAAAAGTTGAGCACACGTGTGGTAGCTGAATAAATGTAAAAATAATTCATTACAATGGCAGCGAACAACAAGGGCAAAGAGTCTACGAAGGCACCGGTAAGTAGAGCGAACCAAGAGTTAGTTAAAATATCACAAAATGTTTTTTATATTCAATCAATTGTGCCAATGCAGTCAGCAAATGAGGGCCGTAGCCTTACCTCCGTCGAACTGTATGCAGCTCTAACGTTCAAGGGCACAAAAGCACCGAAGACGGACGTTCCTCTGGTGTCGACGTTCGTGGTCGCGAGCGAGTACTTCGTGGACGGAGTGGTACTCTGTGTAAGCATCTCGGCGGACACCAGCCTGTTGGCGGTGGGCAAGCCCGACTGCTTGATCTACATATATGGGCTGAAGCTGAATGTGGCCGAAGGGAACGCCGACTGGACCAGTGAGGGTAACTTCAACCTCTTCGGCCATCAGGTGCAGGTGACTCGCGGCGCCTTTTCTCCAAACCGAAAGCACCTAGTCACCTGGTCACCCGATTTGGACTTGCGTCTGTGGAACCTGGAATCCCGCAGCTGTGTGGGCTTCTTTCCGAATTCCCAAAGACACGTCAAACGCATTGTGTTTGATCCCTTCAGCATCTTATTTGTCACCATGGGTGAACAAGGCGTATTCAGTTGGGCAAAGACCGGCACAGAACCGGACATAAAGTTACGTCGCAAGTACCAAAAATATTACGTGCCGGCTTTGTCGGTCTGTGCGTATCACCCGAAAATAACCTCCCTGGCCACTGGCTTCGTCAATGCCAAAGTCTGCATGAGCAACATGACCGCTGGGGTGCCTTCTCAGGTGCGCTCATTCGCGGGTCACACAAACAGCATCACCGCCCTGGCCTTCTCAACATGCGCTGAATACTTGGTTGCAGGTGCCGAGGATGGTTGCCTCATTGTTTGGCATGTGATGACTCAGATGATAATACGCCGCCTTAACCACCATACGAGGCGCATTACCTCGATTGCCTTCGCACCTGACAACGGGAGCTTCGCGGCCGGCAGCAAGGACACCTACATGAGTGTATGGGACTTTGACCTCCTCGTGCTCACCAAGAAGGATAAAAACTTGATCACTGATGTGCTGCTAAAGGGCTCGCAAGCCAGCGAGTGTGGTACTACTATCTACGAGGTTCGCTTTGTCACTAACAAACACCTGATGGCCATCTGCGTGGACAAGCCCGAGGAGATCGAGGAAGACGGAGAATCTGCTGAGCTAGTTGAGGAATCACTTTAAGCAGAAGATAACCATGAAGAGATGCTAGAAGATAAGAACATAACACAAATATTTTTTTTCACGTATTATTTTTTTTTGCCTTTGGTTTTATTCTCTAATAATAAGGAAGAACAGTTTAAATGTGTTTCAATTTCTCATTTGTACAAGAGGAAAGCTAAATCTATTAGATCTATTATCTATCTATGGAAATCGAAAGCTTGGAACTCTGAATCCACAACAATTCTTACATTATTAATGTGTGTTTCATCTAAGCACTAATGTTTCCATTTTGCTAATTAAAAATCGTTTGAGTTCATTAATAAAGCGCTGAGTAATCTGCTTAAGTCTGCTCAATCCAAAGTCATTTCCACAGCTTCCCAAACCAAAACACAGCACAATCATAAAATATTAAGCAAGAATTATTATTTTGCCTGCGTTCACTTCATTGGCCTCGTAATAAATGGGTAGAAAATCGTGAAATACTAAAACATTTATATGCAATGCATTGCTTGGCTTTTGGCTGAGAGAGAAGTACACCTTATCGGGGCACTGCAGCTCGCAAACTTTATTCAATTTAATTCAATTCAATTCCTTAACAGTGGAGGAAAAATATAGAGCAGGGACAGCGTAAGAAGTTGGTGTTGAAATAAATAAATAGACGGACACGGAGAGATAGTAAAATTTAAACGAACCGACAGGCGGACAAACAAACTTTTCCGGGCGCATAAAAATGGTGTAAAAAGAAAATAGAAAATGTGAGAGAACATCTATCAAATTCTGCATTTATACTCCAGCCACCCAGAGAGTGAAATCAAATAAGATAAAACACTGCTGCAAAGTCCTTGCAAAATGCTGGTTAAATATATAGAAATGTTGTGGGAATCTTATTACCATGTGTCTGCTGTTCAGACCCTGTGCATTCCTTTTCCTTTTGTTAAGTGGATTTGATTGGCAGCTCTTTTGACATTTGGTGATTTGCCAAAAGATTTTACGTGGTCCTATAACTGAGCTCCTGTGCATTACATTTGATTTATTTTGCAGGGAAAGAATGTACTTGGACCTTTGTCAGTGGATAATAAAAACACCAGGGAGCAGAGAAAAGTATTCCAAAATAAGTTTTGGAATTTTCTTTGTGAACTTTCACATTTTATTTTATTTCATTTAATTTCCTCTCTGTGCTCATCATTTACAATAAAATTAACATAAATTTGCGATTTTCCAAACAGCTTAGACGCGTCTCTAACAATAACAGTCAAGTGGAATCAAACTCAGAAGGAACTCAGGAAAGGAAAAAAAAAATGAAATTCGCGCCTGCAAATATGCTGATGTTGAAAGCTTAAGGACTTTTTGAGTCTCGCCGGGGTTTGAAAAAAGGAAGGAAAGAAAATCAAGTTATTTAGAGTTATGACCCGAGCAGGCAATGACCTGAAGTGAAATTATAGAAACTCTAATTACAGATACAGTTCAAAGAAACGTACAAACGTTTCAAAGCCTTTCGGCGACAATTGAAATTCAATTTGTCAAGGCCTAAAAGCAAGCTCAACCAGAAATCCCCCAAGCTGATTTTCAACAAATGCCAATTCAATTTGCGTCAGTTGAAGCTGACTTCTTACTTAATGTACATATCTCGTATATGTCGGTTTGAGTGTGTGGAAATTGGATAGACTTTATCTAAAACTTAATGCTTTTAAGCAACTGTTTGGCAGAGTCCCCAACTTTAAGTGGAACGTTCTGTAAATTCTACCAGCTACACCGCAAAGAAAGTTTATCCCGAAAGGAACAGAGAGAAAATTAACAAATTTGTTTTTCCAAAAAACAAGCGAAATACGTGAGGATCTCGATTCTCTCTATAGCAGATACGTACTGGTACATATCTATATACATATTTATATGCATTTGTACCCACAATGTGGCGGCAGTTTGCTGTCCCGAAAATCCCCCAACGTAACATAATCTTCATGTCTGTTTGCAACTGTTCGCGCTGACAGCTGGGAGGGATGCGGGTCCGTGTGGGGCCGGGCTTTGTTGGACTTTCTGTTCCCTCCTAGTTGCTTTGCAGTGTGAAAATTGCAGAAGATTGCATATGTGGGTTCTGGAAATGTATTTATTTATATGTATAAATAATATTTTTTGTAGCTGTCATTTGGGTGTGTTTCTGGGTTTCTGTTTCTGTTTCTGTTTTTGGGGCCACACAAATTACTGTTTGCGGAGTGCTGCTGAGTGGCGGCATCGTCTGTACTTGGCAGTGGCCAATAAATCAAAATAATATCAAATGTTAGGTAATCACTTCAGAGCTGACCAGAGAGCACGACACATTAAATGCTCATGTTATGGTGGACTTCATTTCTACCTTGATTTGAATTGATTGCAACATTTGGCTACCATTTATATTTTCCACAGCTGTTTACGGCACTGCGAAAATGCAGTGTTGTATAACAGCAAACAGGCGCAACAGCCGCCCTATCGATTATATCCATCAATAGTTTATATTAGAGGCTAGTCCATAGAAAAACATTTCACACATTTCTTGGAGCATTCATTTTTGTACTTCCCATCCCGAAACCCGAACAATCAGCAAGACCCGCGAATTCAGCTGACAGATAAATGTCTCGCATCAGAATCTATTCCTAATGCCTTCCACCCTCAAAACTTGACTGGGATCAAGGAGGAACACAACTTTCAATTTACCAATAGCCGTTCAATCATCAACGCTAATCAAGTGTTCGGAAGAGCGAGCGCCAAATGGAATTTGTATACAACAGAGTGGCAGGCTCCTGACTCTTCTCCTCCTTGATGCATAAAGTCCCATAAATCACTTGAAAATTACGTTGCTGCAAGCCCCCAATGGGGGTCTGCAGAGAAGAGGCGAACGAAATCATCCAGGCCACAGCCATCCCGACAGTGCCCATAATAAGCATGGGGCTATGACTCTGCCTCTGAATGGTCCTGTGAATGTGAATGCACAATTATGGCCGCTTCGATGGTCGTAAAACAAGGAAGCGGCAGCCAACATTTGTACCCGCTAGCCCCGCGACTGCCTCGAGCAGGGACATCAATAAAATAAACACTGACAGTGGGAGGGCGAATGGCGAATGGCGAATGGCAAAGGAGAAGAGCAGGAATACAACCAGTATCAGCACCAGTGCCTGAGGATGGTAATGCCAACGAGCTCTACGAGGAGGCGTCTGCACAATTGAACACGCGACATTTGTCCAATTTTTGTTTGTCTCATTGACAAAACATTTTTGTATGTCTTCGCTCGGGGCACTGCCAAAGCTTTAGTTTTCTAGTGCGACTTTTGATTAGAAATCATTCACAAAGTCACTACCAAGGGAGCGGCTCTTGAATACAAAAGATACAAAATTGATTTTGAATTCGATCCGATAAATGTGTGTGTTCGATAGCAGAATTTTGAGATGTGAGCTTGTATCCCTCGTTTTTGTTTTTTTGTTTTTGTCAATTGCCAATTTGGTAGAATTGAGGTTTGAGCATAATTTTATAATTACGAAAATATATTTCCCTACTATGCCAAAGGCAAATAATACGAATTCGAATAGTCAAAATAAGAACGGAGAAGGAAGTGTAAGTAGAGCAACAAATTACGCAAAAAAATACAACAAACAAATTGTGACCATAAAAAACATCTAGCGCGAACAGATGGACACGGACGAGCCGCTAGAAGCGACCTTCGTGGCCACAAGCCCACACCACATTGATGGGGTCGCACTCTGTGCAAGCGTCACGATGGACACCAGCTTGATGGCCGTGGCCAAGGCCGATTTCTCGATCCACGTCTTTGCGCTAAAGCTGCATGTGATCGGCACAGAGGCGGACTTGACCAAAGGAGAGACATTCACACTCAGTGGTCACAGATGCAGAGTCTACACTGGACAGTTTTCGCCCGATGGCGGACACCTACTAACATGCTCGGAAGACTTTGAAATGCGTTTGTGGAGCATGCAGTCCAAGGGCTGTGCGAGCATCTGTGTCCAATCTATGGGCTTCGTTCGTGGCATCGCATTTGTTGCCTCAAACACCTCACTGATTGCCACTGTCGGCGAAGCTGGCTATGCATGCTTTTGGAAGGCGGACGGGCCGTGGGTACTTTGCGAGCAATGGATTTTCCAGGAATCGGAACTGACCGCCTGCACATTATTTCTGGCTCGGCTTCATGCAGGATCCGCATATGGAATACCACTACAAACAAAATGTCTGTAACCTGCCCTCTGGGCTCCGATACGCCGATCACTGCCCTGGCCATCTCTCCGTGCAGTTTCATCCTGGTTGCAGGCACCCAGGACGGTCTTATCTATGTCTGGAACATACTCCTTAATGATAAGCTGCTCCGCCTTACCCAACACAAGGAAGCCATTTCCTCGATTGACTTCGCCCCGGGCAACAGACGTTTCGCGGTGGGCGGCAAGGACACACAGGTGAGTGTCTGGAACGTTGAGCCGTTCGGAAGCAACCGCATCTTACCGGCTCGCCAGCTACTACTGGGATCGCGTAGCAGCGGGTGTGGAAAAGTACTGCAAGTTCGCTTCGTCAGCGACAGTCAGGTGCGAGCCATCTGCCTGGAACCATCAGATGTGGACACAAAGGCTTAACGCGCTCCTTTGGCCAAGTTACCACAGCCAGCCAACAGCATGCAAATTTTGGGAATTTAACTTAAATGAACATTCTAACTAGCATACAATTTTATGAAAAGCCAAACGATGATTAAATTTCTATAGGCCGCCATAAAGTAGCAGCCGACCGACCGCAGCATGCTAATTGGCCAACTCTGGCACTGGCCGGCCCTGGCCGAAACCTCATCGCCAACAAAGTTTCCTTTTCATAATCAACGCGAAACGCTTCAGCCTCACGTGTGTACGAAGTGCGTGCGGTTTTTAATTAGTTTTGATTTGGATATCCTGCCACCAATTAGGCCAAAGAGCCTTTTGCATTGGCAATGAGCCGCGAATCGGCCACTTGGTCCACAACCTGATTGCGGTCTGTTTGCCATTTGACAGCATATGCAAAGAAAACTGTTTCATTTTCACACCACTCTCTGCCAAAGCAAACAAATCGAGTTTCTTTTCAATTCAAATTATGAACACAAACACGAAACTTTGCCTCGCTGCTGGAGGAGTGGCGAGGAGTTTGTTAATTAAACTTAACCGCGGAAACCGCTTGAGTGGTTGCAGCTCTGGATTCTCCTCAAATGCATCCTTTCAGATGTTTGCTAGCATTTCCACACACATCGTGATTGGAAAATAAATAATAATGGCCAGGCACGGAGCTGAGCGGCCACTGAAGCATGAGGCGAACATTTTTTAATAAATATATTATTTGGCCATTTTCTAATGTTCGGCTGGCCTCGTGGTTTCTCCGCTCTGGGCATAGTTTCATATATTTTTTGGCAGTCTCCAAGGCAAAAGCTAAGTTTGGCCCGTTGTCTGCGCCGGCCTTGACCTGGATACACACTGTGTTTTCGCTACGAACTCTTTCCATAAATAGTCTTTGATTAGTGGCCTTGGAACCAGAGGCTTAATTGGTTTTAAAGGATGCATGGCGGAAAAGGAATAATGCCACTCGCGCCATGTCGTGTCCAGGTTGTCTGGGGGAAAAGATGTCTGATTCCTTCGAAAGATTTCCCAGTCATTTTCTCCTTAATTCTGTTCTCGTGAGAAGGAAACTCGCATGTTGCGGTAATTAATATGCGAGGCTGCAGAATATTTATATACACACACGCAACGAGTGGCTCTCCGCCAGTCAGTCAGTCAGTCAGTCAGTCAGTCAATCCTTTGGGTCACTCCAGTCCAGAAGCTGTAGGAAAACAGAAACAATTACCTCGTTGCTGCAGCACACCCAGGAGTAGTGTATGTGTGTGTGAGTGGTAATTATAAGTTGTTCGTGTCTGTTAATTAAATGTGTCCAGCGAAGGCATTTAATAAGCTTCAGTCATTTACAAAGGCGCAACACAGAGCGCAGTAGTAGTCCAGATGAGCTTTAATGGAGTCCCAGAATAAGCCCATCCAGCCCATACAGCAGCAGCAGCAGCGTTTGTGTGTATCTGGATGCGTGTTTTTTTATGTTAAAATAAAATAAACCGTGTCGATAATTTCTCTGCATTTCGCTTGGGGCTTTTGCCACGATAGATTTTCCACCGATCGATGCCATGAAAAATAATCAATTTAATTATGAAAAATAAAACAATTGCTACTTCTTTTTGCTTAGGCATACTTATTTCTGTAGTGGGTAAAAGGTTAAATACTCTTCCCTTTGGTGGCAACGCCCTCCTCTGCTGGCAATTAATCATGTGTGAAATTTCGCGCCCCCGATATTAAAATGAAATTTCAAAGGCTGTCTTCAGCTTGATCGGCCAGCAAGCAAACGTTAATTAGGCATTAAAAACAAAGCTGATAATTAATCGTCTCAAAATTGTCCATGAAAGTGTGGCCCAAAGCGTCAGACACCTGAAAGGATCCAGCAGACACGTGGTTTTGCGTCTGCCACAGAGGTGTGGGCAGGATACTCGCATGGCAAGTGGCTAGAAAACCAAACAAAAAGATGTAATGGCAGTCGTTTGCTAGACATCCCCATTTACAACCCCCCCAAGCGGTTTCTTCCTGAAGTTCTGCCCAGAGTGTGACAGCATCAGGGAAGAGAGTATTCCCTGAATAACCCTCGCTCATTATGCAGCTGTTGCACTGTAAATATTTGCATACATGTTGCAAAATTAGTTAAATAAGCATTTATTGTTGTCCTACACAAAGTCGGTTGGTTGGTTGGTTGGTTGGCTGCTGCTGTTTGTCGCAAGGCATTTGAATTACTTTTAATGTTCGCCACCGCGAGCCGAGCTGAGCGCCAACTATTAACACAAAAGGTAATTCCCCTGCAAATTGACATAAAAGACAACAGCGAGGTGAAACTTTTCTAGCCAAAAACTTGTGTTGTTTAATTTTTCGGGTGCCACAGACGCACACACACACACACCCATTTCCAGAGACAACATCAAAATTTATGTAAATGAAAATTGCATTGCATAAGCTACAGTCACGGATCCAGGCAGGAGTCTCCACGCCATCCACCGCCATGCTACGTATACGCAATGTGCAGCAGCAGCCGGAGCCGGAGCCTAAAGCCATTTTGCACGTAGTATTAGCGCGCTACTTCCATTATTTGTGCCAGCCTTTAGGACACCAGCATCGAGCCATTAAGGCCATATTGCTGCTAGGTAGGTCTATGGCCTGGCAGCTCCCCCAGTTTTCGTGGCACTTTTCCTTTAGTTTTCAGCATTTTCTTTATTGGTTTCTTGCGCTTCGCTGCCAAAGTTTCAACAAGTTTTTGGGCCTCAAATGGCTTCTGCTTCGTGTGTGTGTTCATGTGTGTGTTGGCTGCTGGAAGGGTTTCTGGCAGTGACAAAGATTCTGAGATGCCGTCAACTTTAATAGTCACTAAATAGTGAGGGACAAACATGGTAGGCAGGAGAGCCTGAACTTTGAATATGCTGAGGTGGAAAATTACTTTATGTAACGCCTTCCGGGAATTGTTCTCTTTTGTTTCAGCTTGTAGATAGATAAAGAGGCCTCTGTGGAGTGTATCACATGTATAAATAGTTGCATTAATTATATAACTATTATTCACAGCTTTCTATATATCTCTTTGAATAAGTGTTCACCACTCTGTAGTTGCTTTTATCACACAATCGTTTAGGGAACAATTTGTAATTGAAGTCGCTCTGCAGTGGAGAAAGGACAGACATTTGGGAAATGCCACAAATATGCTCTGCCAATTATCGAAAGCACGAGGGGAAACCGCTTAATAAGCACACCACCATGGAGACTCCACGATATTCCCGTTCCCTGTTCCCATTTGCAGATCGTTGACAACTGTCCAACTGGCCGGCGGATAGTATCAAATGAAGTGAATTGCTTCATTTTCGAATTTCTGTCATACTCGACGTGCCATGTACGCCGCTCTCTCCCCCTTTTCTTTGTCGTCCGCTTCCTCTTTTGCTCTCTTCATATATGTTTTGGAAATCTATTCGTGCCACGAATTTCATTTTCAGCTTGGCAGCAGCAGCACTGAGTTTGTTGTTGCCGGCAAGAGACGTGCAACGGCTGCCAGGCAACTTATTAAAAATGTCCGCAGTGGCAGCAAAAAGGAGCTCGGAGCACACCCCAGATTGCAAGAAAAATACAATTATTTGCCGCAAAGTAGCAAACTGAGTTGAGTGCCTGAGCCATGTAATTGTCGAGAGGAGAGTGCCTAAGTAAAAGTGCTTTGATTTCCGACATTAAATTAAATGCACGCCTCTTCAATTGTCTCTGGCAATACACTCTCCACTGTCCACTGTCCACTGTCCATCCATCCTGCAATTACTCGGAGAAAAAAAAGAGCGAGAAAGAATTGCATTCTGCATGAGCTTTGCCAAATTGAATCCATATAAATCGAGTCGGTGCAGATAGTCACCTTCATATGAAATTCACTTACCACTGGCTGCTGCTGCTGCTGCAGTGCCAAATGAAAGAATTGCAATCAAATAATGCCCGGGGATGGGAAATTCGATTTACATTCAAGCATTCCGTTTGAGGGTGGCCGGATGATATCGATGCTGCATTGAAGGAGCCTCTCGAGTCTCTGTAGGGGCTCCTCCTCCTCCTCTCTCAGAGAGAGTTCTTCCTCCTCCCCTTGCTTGGGCATCAATTATGCTACGTATTTCTTTATTACAATTATCTCGTTGTGCTCTTGGGCCTCGTTCGCATTGTTTCAGCCCATGACTCGCCCATCATGTGTGGAGGGCACTCACTTCACTCACTCTTCTCTCTCTTCCTTCTTTTTTCTCTGTTTTTCTCTTCTGATGAGTGATACGGCAGCCCGCAGTTGCAAGTGAAATTGGTTTTAATTTTGCAACTTGACGGGCCACTTGTCGTGGCATTGACTCAGCGCAGAACCCAAAGCTAAAAAAAACAGCACCCAGCCAGCCAGCACCAGGCTGGACTCAATGTCAGGGACACTCGAGTGGGATACTCGAGTACTCGGCAGGCCAGCCGATCTCAGGTGTGCTGCGACTTAATGAATGAAGATGATAAGCCTCTGCGTTGGCTCAGATTAATGCGTAATGATGATATTCAAACAGGTTATTTATTGACTTAGGCCACAGCTCTGTTTGCTTTCCAGTGAAGCAAAAGCACACTCCATAATTAAAGCAGCAAATCCTGTTTCCTATTCATATATCAAATGGAGGTCTGTTGTTTCTTAGAAGACGCTGAGAGTACTTGATTATTATAGGGAACTGCTAGAAGCTTCCAGTTGTAGTTCAGGGAAAAAAGCAATTTGCTTTTACTGCATTTTCATAGCAACAAATCAAAATCTTAGCTGCATGTTCCAGAAATGGTACAGCCCATGCCCAGACAATGTCTTAAAATGTTTGTACATGTCTAAGAACAAAACGATAGGGAAATCCAGCACACCCCACTGCCCACACGGTATTAAACAATGGTTCAGCATGATGCAGAGATAGAACACATGTGCAACGACACACTTGAGCAGTTTAACCAGAGTTTGCAGAAGGAGCGCAGACACACACCGAAAGACACGACAGCCAGAAGGACAGAGGGGATCTCAACAAGAGACGAACGACGTACGACGAACAGGTGTTCCAACTTATTCATTAAAAACAAAAAGGAAACAGACAGGAACCGAGACGAGATGGGCCAACACCCCTTACCAGTGCCAGTGGCAGTCCCTATTCCCATTCAAGTCCCTGCCGGCTGGCAAGTTCCCGCTGGTTAAGATTGTGGTCGACACGCAATTGCGGCAATTTCAAGTTGGATGCGCTCTCTCTCTCCCCACATTGAGCCAACGAAGCGAAGTGGCAAAAGGCAATGCCAAAGCGAAGGGGACAGCCAAAACGCTTAGAAGCTGCGCTCTTGTCTTTCACACACATCCGCCGCAGTCCATCCTGGAAAGTTTCTTGAAGCTGAGACAGAGCCAACGACAACTACCAACTTTCAACTGGAACTTCAACTGGCTGAAACCGAAGCCGGTTTCGGGGTGTGTTAACTTTATATGCCCGGTAGCGCTGATTGCCAAGACAACGACAGCCCAATTCATTCAGCGGTCTGCTGCCTTTCAACGGCAGCACCAGCAGCTGCCTTAAAGTTCTATACTTTGGTCGGGGTCCTCGGCCGCAGTCCCAGTCCCAGTCCCAGCTGCATTTCCTCATCCTCCTCTCAGTGCTGCTACGTTCTGATTGCTCTTTGGCAAGAAAAGATGCTTTGCATGGGCTTGGTGGACGGTATCTCTGGAGGCGTTTCCAGTTCGATGTATCATGGACAAAGTTATGATCGCTTAAGTGCCGCCGTTTAGTGTTCCAGTTTTAGCATCTCCAATTGTTCATCATAAATTGTTACCATGACATCTCTAATTATGGGGTACGCGAAATGAATGTGGTTCGGTATGATTGTCGCTACTTATTTAGCAATAAATATGGAGACTCTGCCTTAGGGCTGGGCAAGATTATCAGGGATTTAATTTGGAATTTATTATCCCCATATTTATGGAAAATTCTCTGCAGCTATCATAGCTATTCAATCATAATAATTCTGCACACATTCCTGCATCGATGTCATCAATAAAATGTGACCAAAAGCAAACCTTTAATTGTTCTTCTCTTCACACTGTTAGCAACCGCAAAAAAGATCATTGGATAAGCGTTTCTGGGCGTTCCATAATTGTTTGCAAATTAGGATTATTTGTTTAACAAAACCATTTACGATTACAATGTACATTGATTATGCCAGACACATAAACCAGAAATAAAACCACAAAATTATGTAGACAAATAAATATACAAAACTCAAACAGTGCGCATATGAAGAGATCGTTTCTATGCCATGGCTGTGACGGAAGTCGGGTCCGGTCCCCACCGCGCAGCGGGGTACACGGACGACCACCGACCCGACTCCCACAACAACTCTTTTCAAAAAGAGGCCATAAATATTGTTCATTTGTAAATAAATGGCCAACGAAAAATGGGTGGCGGGGGGTAGTGGAAAAAAAAGAGTGGAGAAAACATTGTTCATGTTCATTTCCAGTACTTGGTTTTCTATTTCCTATAGGCAAACATCTAGTTGGGGACCACAGACAGTGCCGTCCACTTGGTCATGTCCATGTCGCTGTTCTGCTGTTGTTGTTGGCTCTGGCTGCGTGCCTTCTCTTTTATTACAGTATCATCTTCCGGTCACTTTGTCATTTCTCCACAACATTTCTCAAACAGTTACGATGGGGACAAGTGCGCGTGTTCAGACCTCCTCTGACCAGGAACAGCTCGAACTTGAATTATTAAAAATAGAAACGAACTCCAAGAAGAAATAAAATACTGGCCGGGCCACTAAGCGGAAGTTGAATAGACAAAGTCGATTCGTTATAAGCTCGATAGACGAGGCAAAGTCGCAGTTCTGTTGGCTTCCATGCACTGAAAGCAATTGGGGAGTGGGTTAGATTCAGAGTTACTTGTTGTTCAAGCGGATTAGAAAGTCTTTGAGAATTACACTTTTATATCATTAAAATTTAACAATAGTTGAGAGAGAAATCAGTCCATCGTACCTTAAATCGCGAGAGCTCGTCTCTTTCTCAACATTTCTCTCACTGGGCACAGTAACATATTCAAATCGTTGCAAAGAGCTGGTCACAAATTTGCATCGTCAGCAGCAGCAGCAGCAGCGGCGCACTGCAGTCAAAATGGTTCTCTCCTCCGCCCCCCGTGTAACCCAGGCGCACACCCTGACCAGCAGCGTTGACCAGCACCGCCGACGCGCCACTTAAAAGCAGTTCGCGCGAGTGCACAAGCAAGCCAGTGGAAGTGGAAGTGGAGAGGGTCCAGAACAAGAGACCAACAGACCAACAGACCCTCCTCCATGTCCACCTTCATGGTGCGCGATGGGGCACACACGCAGCACGCTGCACTTTGAATATAAATTACACAAATAGTGCACACGACTTTGATGGGGTCGGGACACTGAAGAGACTCTGCACAGTGGTTGCCAGATCTAAGATGATTCAAGAATTAGTGTTAATTTGTAATCATTAGAGACACAGACAGACACTTACCGTTGAATTACATAAGCTAACAATTTTTAAGCACAATATTATCATACAAGCTCCACTGTGCGCTGTGCTGCTGTCGAACCTCTGCTCTGTCAACGTTACGCTTTGCAGCTAATGACACTGCCATCGCCTTAGCCTCAGAGATCGTCATCGCTGATAAGCTTCAAAGCGCGTTTCGAACTCTGCGGCAAATCAAAACTCATGGGTTACACACGCGTTTATGTGAAAGTAAATGTGGAGGGCATGGGTCGTGTGTGTTTCGGTTTGGATTGAAGGCGTTGCCCGGGCTAGTGCCGGGCAGATGGACAAGTTATTTCCGCAACGCTTTCTGGATCTGAGTTCTGCCGCCGTCGCCGTCGCCGTCGCGGCCGCCGCCATAGCTGATTGATTGATTAATTGACAAAGGCACTGCCGTTAGTTTTCAATGCACACATTTGCATACATATCTAATTTATGAACGGAGCTAGAGCCAATGCATCCATGGAAATGGAAATGGAATTGTGTTGTCTGGCGCGTATGTAGTTCATTGTGTTAGTTATGCAAATGTTGCATTTCCGCCTCAATCGCCTGCCCTAATGCGGTTTAATTATTCATTAATTTAAGCTTGAATGCCAAAACCATTTTTGGCACACATTCAGCAAATGACCGCCCCAGCGCAATTGCCTGCAGGGGGCTTTGTCCATCTGCAGGCTTTTGTCACCACAAATATGAAGTGTTGCCCGATTATGCAATAATTATGGCCATTGCCCACGTTGTCACGTCGAAGGGAGCTTTGTTTGGAGTGGCCAAGCGGAGTGGTGGATTCAATCCAATGTCTGCTCTTCGATAATTAAAAGCCGACTATGCCCATATATTTAACCAGGCTTGTTTGTTGCTTCGGCAGGTTTGTTTATGTAGGTCGGGCATCTAGTTAGCCTGTTCTATTGTGTGTTTTAATCTCCACAGAAATTGGGAGGGAAAGCCACACGCCCAACTCCCACACCTTGGCTTCTGTGTAAGCTTTCAAAATCTGTAAAATATAACCAGCCAGCCTGCTCCCGTAATCCTGTTTGGAGTATCTCAGGCGAAGCTGCAACATGCCCTGCATATTTAATCCCGGCTACATCGGGCCCCATCCACCCTGCTGTGACCCCGATTGTGTGCAGGAGGGGCAGTGCAACAACTGGCAGTGCGGTCCGTGTCCAGGAGAGCAGCCGCCGCACGGCTGTTCACCAGCTCCGCCAGCGCCACCATCGCAGACGCAGGAAAAGCTGAAAAAGAATTGATGAATACTTCAGAAACCAGGAGGGGAGCTTGTAGCAATAGATGCACGGTACTACAAAATATAGCACATTAAATAAATCAGAATAAAACACTTGCAATCTTTGTTTTTGGTTATTTCTTGAAGAATTTCAATCTGCTGACTACAACTAAATATTGCAAAACAATTAGAATATCGATATATTTATGATTGCGGGGATAGTCTGCTATTCTAATGGTATATCGAAGTCACTTTGGGGATATCGAACCCCGTCGGCTCTGCATTCAGTGTGCAGAATTTCTGTAAAAAATGCGAGCTTGCATCCCTGGCATCTGTAGTGGTGAAAGCGCGGTAATTGGCACATTGTCTGAAATAATTAATAAATATCCACAAATTACCATTCGATATGAATATGGAGAGTGCAAACGATGCTATAGAACCAAATGATGATACTGTAAGTACGCATAATAAAAGCAAAGCGAGATATGAATGCAAATTCCTTATTTTTAATCGGCAGCGCTCGGAGTTGGTGTGCCAAACACAAAACGAAGAAAAAGCGAGCATCGAGGATGCTATTGATGTGTCGCATGGAACCGTGGATGGAATTCATGTATCGGCGGATGAGCATAAATCTGAAAGCGATAACTTGCAGGACGCGCACGAGAACGAGCTGCCCGAGAGCAAATCGCCAGATTTAGAAAGTGGCGACTCCAGTTGCGACTCCACTGACTACAGTGAGACTGATGACTCTGAAGAGGAGGATAGCGACGACTCAAATGATGCGGGACCCGTGTACACAGGGCAGCACAAAAACTATGAAGACTTCTTCGAAGGCAGTGCCTTGTTTTTGCGCAAGAAAATCGTGAAATATGCCATTTTCGCACCGGATGAGGTTTACCAGGACTACAAGCAGATGTTTGCGGGTATGCAGAAGATAGTTGAGGATGTGCCCAACGCATACAAATATGAAATATCCTCGTTGCTGTACCCCATTTTGGTGTTGGGATACCTGCGAATGGTTATCGGCGGCAATTGCCAAATGGCCAAGGAGTTTTTGGCCGAGAACGAAGATTACTTGGAGGATATCTACGATCGCAGCATCGCTAAGCTCAAGCATATCCGCAGGCCAAGGCATGTGTCGGCCCGGGCTCGCGAACTGATCATTGGCCACGACGTTGTTCTCCTTGAAATGCCCAGAGAAACACTCAGGGAGCTATTGGAAAACATTTCAAATTGGCAGTTGGCCTACCAGGAGTTGTTCATGGGCCACTTTGTCATCGATGGCTTCTATAAGGACAGCCCGCGCTGCAAGCGTCCACCACTGAGTCGTCCCCCACTAGAGGACATCTGCTGGGCCGTTCGGACTAACGCTTCCAACCATATTCTGCAACCGGATCGGCGTAATCTGGAGATTAGGTCGTGCTTCCTCAATCCTCCCATGATCCACGAAACGGATGGAGTTGTTTGTGGGATCTGCACACAGGACGGATGCTATGTGGCCATGACAACCCAGGAAAACTCCATCTTCCTCTGTTCGGTGGAGCTGGACCGAAACATAACCATACTGAAAGTTCTCACCGGGCACAAGGGCATAGTCTACACCGGCGATATTTCCCCGGACAAACGCTTCTTGATCACCTGCTCGCAGGATGGCACCATGCGCCTGTGGTGCTTGGTAGTTGGTGTTTGTACGGCAGTCTATGATCAAATAAGTCCCGTACGCAGCGTCGTGTTTGCGCCAGTGGAATACTTGTTTGCCACTGCTTCCGAGGATGGCGTTGCACGCGTCTGGATGAAGACCTGTGACGATGCCATCATGCAGATATCCGGCCATCTGGCAGAGCTGGATGTTTGCATCTTTCATCCGAATTCACGGTATCTGGCCACCGGTTCAGCTGATCGCACGGTGCGCATGTGGGACGTCGCCAACAAGGGAGAACAGGTGCGCCTCTTCTATGGCCATTATAAGGCCATCACCGCACTGGCCTTCTCACGAGGCGGCCGCTACTTGGTCTCCGGCGGCCAAGACTCTTTGTTCGTCATCTGGGACACGACCAACGAGAGGGCACTCCGGAGAGTGCTCCACCACACGGCAACGATTAACACGATCGATTTCGCCATGGACGACCATCGCCTGGCGGTGGGCTGCCAGGACACCTATCTCAGCGTCTGGAACTTTGACAACATCCTCAAATCGGAAGAGACGCTTGGTCTACCCACACTGGTTCTCTCGCATCCAAACACAGGTGGGCCCATCTATAAAACTCGCTTCGTGGGCCACGGCGTTTTGATATCCATAATCAATCGGTCGTTAAACAACCCAAATGAAAACAAAATTGCAAGCAAAACTGAAAGCGTTAACAAAACAAAACCAAAAACTAACAAAAATAAGTAAATCAGCAAATCAAGGTAAGCTTTTCTTTTAGATTCAAACAAATACAAAATCATCGGTCATTTTGGTATTTTTCAGGCAACACATTTGGAGCAGTTTTTCCTCTTATCCCCAATTTTAAATAATTGTTTGGTAAGTTTGCTGTAATGTTTCGTTGTTAATAATTATGATAGTTAACTGTCTTGCAGACCCTTGCCGAGTGTTCAGAATGTGCTATTCGCGCTGCAACACTGCAGTGTTCAATCCGTTCTACATTGGACCCTTTCCGCAATGTGCCTGCGGACCGTGCCCCTATGGCTGCTACTCGGGCTTTACACCATGTGGATGGCGCTGCTGCCGCTGAGCGTTCTGGGATCACGTTTTGAGCACTCAACAAACGTCAAAGAGTGGGAAGAGAAGTTTAACTATCCGAATTTGTTTTCTGTCTCAATAAAAATTAATGTAACACACACACAAATCCGGAACAAAATTTGTGCTTGTCTCGTTTCCCCTTTGGCCATGTCTGCCACCATAGATGTTAGACTTCCCGCTCTGATGATCACCCATATTGTAAGGGAGCTAGAAAATGTAATGACTTTGGGCTCCCAATACACCAGGGATCACATAGTGCCGACCATCCGAAGTTGGGTAATTATGTTGCATCAGTCTTTTGGCCTCAATCATCGGGAAGCGGAGCCAGTTCTGGAAATGGATCCTTTGGTGCCAGCCATTCAAAACCTCGCTACCATTATGCACGATTCCTACTCCGAACCGGACATCAATCAACCTGAAACGGCGACGGTTCTAGACGCGGAGTCCTTTCTGCTGCCCATGCGCAGTGTCATGACCATCATGAGCGACTTCTCTCCGGAAGTGCTCGGGGAGCAGGAGACAGTTGTCGATGTCAATGTGGTCGTTAGAATTACCCAATGCATTTATCGGTTGGCCCGAACCACATATGACATAATGTCTGTTCTGACTGAATAACAGAGTATCGGTTGCTTTCAATGTCATCGCTTTGTGGGTGATTTGTTTTCGTGTACTCGGGGCGATGATCTCCACCACAAATATGATTCACAGGATCATTGGAGTGGTGGGTGCACTGGCCCTGCTTGTGATTGTCACCAACTCGACCGCCTTGGTCATTATGAACTCGAGCGATGGTCTAACTGAGATGGTGTCGTCCGTAGGCCGATTCATAGACCGCTTTAGGCCCGTCTCCGGTGTGCCTGTGGTACTAGACTGTGAGCACATGGGTACAATATGTCCCATTTTTCGTAGAATCGGTCGTGGGTTGCACCGTGCGGTGGAGATAGCAGCAGACGTTGCCAATACCTGGGCTGAGCCACCACCCAATGGCAGTGCTAATATTGTCTCTGGAAATACGGTAACAACTCCAAGAGTAGAGACTAGCAAGAGAAAGGCATCATCGAGCATCCAAGAAAACCCAAATAAGAAAAGAAAGAGCACCAAGCAAGCGGCACACACTGGTGAACATTTTAGGCTACAATAGTAGTCCGTTCTTGGTACTGTCAAAATTGTTTCTTTGCCTTTGCTGAGTATCCCTATCCCACAACGGAGCTCATTCATTTCGTACAACTGTTTCGGTAAACATCTCGTTTGTAAAAGTTCCAAAAATGAAACAATAGAAAAATTTCCCAAAATTTAAAGCCAAGGAAAAAACTTTAAGATATTTCTTCGGCACAAAAAAAAAGAACACAGTGAGCAAAGCAAAAATAATTTCTTAAGTGCGAACTTTAATAGTAATTAAATAATTTCAAGCCGAAGAGTTTGCCCACCGCTTGCAGTTGAAGGAAGCTCCTACCTCCATCATGACTATGATCGTTTGCAAGTTCGATCCCTTCTATGTGGGACCCTGCCCACCCGGCTGTTGCGCGGGACCCTGTGGACCTTGTGGACCTTGTGGACCCTGTGGACCCTGTGGACCCTGTGGACCTTGTGGTCCCTGTTGCGGCCCATGCGGTGGCTGCTGCAGCTCTTGTCCCTGCGGCTGGTGATGAGCTTGCTGGGATCATTAGGAACCTGAAGATTACTGCCGAAGAAATATGTTGCTGTTTGAAAATTTAAACCTTGGCGAGGTTACATCAATCAATCCATGTAATACCCAAATGCAATAAAACGCATCTTCATTCAAAAAATGCACACAAATTGGCTTTGGGGGGACTAGGAATTTAGCCTTCAACCGTAATCCGTGGAGGTTTTGCCTCTGCTCAGATGCAAGCACTGCGAAAATAGGCACATGTTGTCCTAGGTAAAGGACTGGCATAAAACAGCTGTTCGATGGTCAGGCGGCTTCCAGTGCGCAGTCGCGCTTCCAACGCGAACCCGAATCCCAATCGAATCGAAACCAAATCCTAAACATAGAATGTAGAGCATTGTGTCAGGTCAAAGGTTTTGGGGCCTGTCTCCCCGACTCCTGCTTACTGGCGGCCTGCTGTTTCACCTGATTCTGATGCCTGATGCTGAGTTTTGTTCGGCATGCTATGTTTTGTTTCGGCTTAGCGCGATTTATGGCACCGTATAGGAGGGTGTCCTTGTGTGCCTGATGCTTCCTTGAGGCGTTTTTTGGGTGGGGAGTCTGCTTATGCGGAGCTCCATGTGCGCGTGTGTTGGCCATTTCACTCTCATTTTGGCAGTGTTTGCGTTGTTTTTCCCGCGGAATTTATTGCGGTAGGTCGGAATTTTCATTGCTTTGCCGCACCCCACCTCCAGCAAAGCTCTCTTTGTGTTCCTTTCCGATTCCGCAGACTTTGTGGTGTGTGTGTGTGTGTGCTTTTGTGTGTGGCTTTGTTCCATGTTTTATGGCCAAAGTTGTGCGGCTTCTTATATTTGAGTTTTAGTTTTTAAACAGAAACTTTTTCGGCTGCATTGTCATAAGGTTGCTGCACTTGAGATAAGTTTTTCCTCTGGCCCAGCAACAGTTTATCCTGGATTTTTGTGCCACTTTGGGAATTATTTAGGAGTCAAGGTGAGGCGAGGCTCATTCTCATTCAACTCACAAAATTCCAACGGCCGGATCTACATCTTTTTAAATTTTACCAGTCCGGTTACACTTTTGTATGTTTATCCTTAAAGTTTGCTTAGTTTATCTTTGATTTATTTGCAGACAATAACCAAAATGTGTTGCTTATTCAATCCTGGCTATGTTGGACCGTGTCCTCCCTGCTGGGGTTCTGACTGTGGCCCTTGCTGTGGCTCCTGCTGCGGACCCTGTGGCGGCTCCTGTTGTGGACCCTGTAGCGGCTCCTGCTGCGGACCCTGTGGCAGCTCCTGTTGTGGACCCTGTGGACCCCTGCTGCCACCATTCCTGCTGGTCAGATCGCAGGATCTACTTCGCTAAGAACACAAAATTTTCAAAAATGTAGCAATAGAACAATAGAGACCGGTCATCAGTTACAACAAAGATCAGAGCCTTTCAATCAGAAAAACATGGAATCCCCGAAGGTATTCTCGTGGCCGTGCCCCTTGCAACATGTTGTAAGCTCTGCATGCAACATGTTCGACAGCCACTGTTCTCGGCTCCGGGCTTCGTATTTAACAGCAAGCGCGCGACTCGAGGCGCCTTCAAAGTTCGTTTGTGTCTCGGGTAGCGTGGTTCGTAAAGGAATCCGTTCGCGACTCTGTTGGCGTATCTGTTGGCTGTTTTGAGCGTGTTTTCGAAGATTGTGATCCGACAGCTAAGCTCTGAGAACTGAATGAGACTTAGCCACAAATTAGGGTCCAATCCTGCTCTCTATTCTCGCTTTAATGTTATTTCGCGGAGTTAATTAGTTGACAAAAAACTGGTATATAATGAACCTGCCATTCATCCGGCACTTAATTCAAAATTGTAGCTGCCGATCTGTCGCTTAATGTGTGGATATTTCGCGTACGCAGAGTTTGACTAGTGCCAAAAAACAAAATAAAGAAAAAACTGAAAAGCTGAATGAAAGTTCTCTTTGCAACAAAATCAACAAAAATTTCGGTTCAACTGCTAAATAAACGGGACCAGTTCAAATCTTACGTACCCAACTTTTGCCGTGTGTGTGCCGTGAAGTCCTCCCCGTGTGCCTGTGTGTGTGTGTGAACCCTGTAACAAATCTCATTTATTGGCAGCCAGAAACTGATTTGAATATTCAGATCTCTAACCCCCCCTTACAGACCACACCAGACAACACCCCGACTACAAATTATCTGAGTTTGTGTTACCTGTGCACCCCATGATTTATATAGGCTCTGCAGCATCAGCAGCAGCCGTGATGTAAAGTGACAATTTTGATAATTTTCGATTTACATGCCGCTGTGCATAAGGTAAGTTCGTTACACATTTTATAGATTGTTTTGTCTAAAAGCGAATTGATAGATGGACAGATGGTAGTTACTATCAGATTGGATTTAATTCAATCGGAAGTGTTGTAGCCAGAACTGAATGTTCGGCAATATTTGTAATTTGCATAATAAGAATGAAAATGTTTTACATTTATGGGTTACTAAATTTACATTTAAAACAGGGGAAACACACTCAATGAGCAAAGAAGAAAGAAGTTATTGTTATTGCAAAAATGATTAAAATTCACTTGAATAGCCTTTATTTTTGCAAAACAAAAAAGTGTTTACACAATTCTGTAATGTTAAAATAGAGCTTGCAGCGTGATAATAAGCTCAATCGATGGACTTTGGTCTGATTAACATTAACATAATTTAAATAAAAATATTATGGGGAAATAACGAAATGCATTTATTTCTCAGAACATTCCTCATTTCTCTAGCTTCATAATTCAAGTGGGTGCATTATCAGTAATTCTAAACTGGAAAACCATTTAAAGAACTTTTCTTAAAGCGTACATGGAACTTTAATGTAAAGCTTCTACCAATTCGAAAAGTCTATCCCATTAATAAGGAAGTAAGAACAAATTGGAAAAGCAAACAACTCATCTTTCACTGCAAGTTCTGCTTTGTTTATTTTTCCATTGAGAATGACACATGTACATATGTATGCATGCATCTCCTCCCTTTATCACCGCTAGCCTTTGCTTCGTGATACAGTTACACCTGCTCCAATGACTTGTCGATCGGAAACCGCAAAATTCGTATTAACTGCAACCACACGAGAGGTGTCTCGGATCGCGTCTACTTCCGCCCTTGGAGGGTTTCTGTTCATAGAACTTTTGCGCCGGGAAAGTGTATCACTTTCACAGTGCCAACGAGAAATAAATGCGATCGCATAAATCAAGGAATAATTACAAGTTATTCTAATATCGATTTCAAGGCTAGAACATAAATTAGCGCTACCGAATAAAATGGCCATAAATATCGCGACATTAGGGACATTTTATTGGCTTCGGGCGGCCGAAGATGGTATTAATGGGTGCCATAAATATTTAATCTCCAACAACAGGTTTTGTCGACATTAAAACGGAAAGCTCTGGGAAGTTTGCCCAAAGAGTGAAACATTCAATTCCAAAAATTAGTTGACGAAAATATGGAAAACTTCTGGCAGCTGCACCTGTGTCTGCTAAATTTTTAATAAAATCATCCGTAGAAGTGGTAAACTTGACAAAGCCATTCGTCATGCTCAAATAACTTGGGTTCCATTCGGAGGGAGGGGAACTTTTGGGGTTCGTTTTTCATTTTCCTTTTCAGTTTTTTATTTGTTTTTGCTGGTCAGCCAGCCAACCAGTTTGGCAACATAATTATGCAGCCAGGCATGCAGCTGAGGACGACATCGGCGCGCCGCAAAAAAAAGGGTAAAAAGAACCCTTTCTTTCCTATATATGTACATATAAATTTGGGTCACTGGCGTCCAAAGCAAATTGTAATTAAAATATGAAATTTCAATGCAGGCATACAAAATTTCACTTTCCATCTTAATCATAATAATCGCACAAAAAAAATTGCATTTGTAATTGAACAAAGGGGAAACCTATATCGGCTTTAACCTTGACTCGTGCGCAGCTCTGGCAGTTCTCGGAAATTATCATCAGCATCCACAGCAATCCTCTAGCCAGCATCATTATTACCAGCGTAACCATCATCATCATCATCTGCTCTTCTGTTTTGCATAATTTCATACATAAACTCTCGTTTTTGTGTGCATAATCCGCAGCTTTGATGACAACAAAATAGAACAAAAATGAAGAAAAAAGCGGAAAACCAAAATGGAAGGTGTGGCAAAAGGTGTCACACGCTCAAAGGAGTGTGGGTGTTAAATGTTCAAAAAATGAAGCGTTGAGAACTTTGGTAGCATTACGCATACGTCCTGCGGTGCTCTGCGGTGCGGACCAGAGAGGATTATGCCGTGGAGTTTCATATAGTTAATGACATGCAGCTGCTGTTTTACTTGCGGCTTCTGTCCCGACACCTTCAGAGTTTTAAGTCGCTCTCTCCCTCTCTTCCTCTCTCTCTCTCTCTCTCTCTTTCACTCTCTAAGCTAAATTTCCCCTAAGAAACTTATGAATTTTAAGGTGCTTTTCATGAAAATTTGGATAAGGCAACATGAAGGGCAACCTCCGGCACTTCAGGGACTTGTCAGCAAGGGTTGAGCTGCTGATCATAAATCAAGTAAACAGTTGGTCCGGGGTCGCAATCAAAATCATTCTGCGGTCCTCAACATTTGTCCTACTGGTAATTAATCATCGAAAGTAATTGGTTTTGTGTTTTGATTTGACATTTGAAAAATTGCAGCTGCGACAACTCTGACCCAATGGCTTTTATTTGCAGCTCTTTCGTCTCATTCCGCTTGTTTGCTTTTCCACAGCACAAAATGTTGCAATACAAATGGAAAATGATATTTTTTCCCGCCGACAAAGAAACAGAAAAACAAGGAAATGGATTTCAATAAAAGCTGTAAAGAAACATCGACATCAACATCGACCTATGAATGCAAATGGATGAATGCAAATTAAATATAAACGAACGCATAAATGCGGCTTAAAAAAAACGGCCCAACAATATTGGCGAACGAAAGGGATTAACTTGAAAAAGTATTTATAAAAGCCGCCCACAAGTTAATGTTTGTTTGCTGTTCGGCCATCGCTTGACAATAAAATCCATGTTGTAATGGAGTTTCCTTTAATTCAATTGCGACCTTTGCTGGTTAAATAAATTCATTCACAAATCAACACATAATTTGCCTTGATATTTATGGAATTAATATCTCGCTCATAGATCTGTCACGCACACACAATTTATTAATTTAACTCATATGATTAACAAAAAGCAGAAAATTGTCAAACTTTCATGTTTCAATTTAAATTCTCTGACATTTTCGGACATCCAAACAAATGAACAAATTAAACTAAGACGCAAACAAAGTTGAAATCCATGTTGAAACGATGATGGCATTCTGCGAAATATTTTCTCCCCAAATGCAAATAATACCAAAATGAAATTTTGGGACAATAAAAATGATTAAAAAAGCGTTAAAGTCTTTAAGAAGAATTACGCGGCAGCAGACATAAACTCAACTTTGCTTGTGTGTGGGCTCCTTTTTTCCGTCTTTTTTTTGTTGTTGTGGGGGTTCTGGTCGTGCCACTTCAAAAGGAATAAAACCAGAGACTGGGGCGCAGTGACTTTGTTTTGTTTGGAAAGTCTGGAAGTGGCCCTTACTTTTGGTGGTTCTCCTTTTTTCGAGTGGCGCGGGTGTTGTGCAGGCTGCCGTTAACTCAATAATAAAATTTATGTTATATTTTTCAAGTGGCATCATCGCGGGCTGAAGCATCTCATGTGTTTGGTTTCATATTGAAGTTTATGTTTGGCATTTTATGCTCAAGTGAGCAGAAGAATATACTGAAATTGGTACTCGCTGGGCAACAGTTAAGGGAATTAGTTTGTTTGTTTTTTTGAACTATTAGATAAATAGAATTAGTTTCTTTACTTTGCTTACTAAGCAGTGAATGTATCTGCCGGGTATCTTTCATTCGTTTCTGGCAGGACAACACCAACTCATGATGTATCTTCGCCACGTGCTTCATATATTATGGTCGCATTTTACTTCTCAATTAAATACCACTTTGCCCGTCATAAATGTAAATATTTGCTGCTGCTGCTGCTGCTGCTACTTCGACTGCACATAAATATTTATGCGGGACTTAATCAAAGCGGACCAGCCATGAGGCAGGATGACGATGACGAAGTTGGATCCGGGACTTAAGCCGGCTTTGCTCTTTTGCAGCTCTCATCTCTTTTAATTTCTTCTATTTGTGCCGAAACAACTCATTTATGTTTATTTAAACATTAAATGTGCTTTCATTTGATTAGCAGAAACCCGAGTTTATTCCCATATCCAATTTGGCCCGCTCAGATCTTGTTAAAAATATATAAAATTTATGTTTGCATTGCTTTCAGCTCATTTTTTGTTGCCTTTTTTTTTGTATTCTCCCACACTCTGGGCTCTTTTTCGGTTTTGAACTCATTACAATTTCTTTTGGCTGGGGCTGTCTTTTATGTGGGCAGTCGCATTAAAATACATGAAATGCGCAATTAAAAACGAGGGCACAGTCCCTTTGTGAATTGAAACAGGATACAATTTTCTTTTAATTAAATATGCGGGGCGTTTTCATATTTAAACACATATCGATGTTTAATGAAAAGCACTTTAAAAGTAAGAGCGGAATCGTATTGTATATACTGCTTAATATGCACAAAAATCCTTGCCGCATCGATAAGGAGCTGACTTTATGCAACTTTTTTAAAGCAAACAATCTGTTTTGAAAATCACTGCACTCAAGCTGCTGTTGTGGCAGTTTTCGGTCTTTGGGAATCAGCAATCTGATGGGTGACAACTGCCACCGAATGCTACTGATGCCTTCACTTCCACTGCCACTGCCACTGCCACAGTGCTCGCCAAATGTCAGCTCGTTGTCTCGATGACAAATGGGCGCATTTGCCTTTTGTCTGACAAGCACCCCCATCGATATGGCAGAGTAGCGCCGTTTGCCAATAAAAATAAACTGTTCCAGCTATAGAACCAAACCAAAACAATACAAGAACGAAGCTCGGTTCAGTGACCGAGACGTTAGATACCCTTGAATATAAGGTAACAAAAATGTAATCTTTGATGAGTTGTGTTGCTAAGGGTATACCCAAGACTTGGCGATTCCAACTAGAGAATATTCGTTTTCCATGACAAAAAAAAAATGAGATTAACCCTAAAATAGGGCTATAAAGTATACACTTTTGAAGCAAAATCTCTGTGTAACAATATCCTCTTGAAGGGCATTGGAAACCTTTAAACAAGCCTCTCTGCGGCTGTGCCACACACGAAGACCGCGAAGCAATGAGCAGCGGAGTGTAAACGTATGGGAATATCT